AAATGTTATGTTATGGTTTAAAAAAACAGGTTTTACAATGGGTTGATAATTACTTAAACAACAGAAAGCAATTTGTTGTTTTTAATGGTAATCGATCACAGCTGGCTGTACTAAAATGTGGTGTTCCACAAGGATCCATTCTTGGACCCTCGTTGATATATGATATGTTAATGATCGTGCTAATGCATCAAGCTTATTGTCACCTATACTATTCGCTGATGACACAAATCTTTTTGTCACTGACAAGAATTTTGATTCCCTTATTGCCAAAGCAAATGCTGGACTCATTCATTTTTCACATTGGTTTAAGTTAAACAATTTATCACTCAATGTCAAGAAATCTAACTTCATTATTTTCAGTCAATCAATTTTCAATCAATTTTATTTATAAAGCCCAATATCACAAATCACAATTTGCCTCACAGGGCTTTACAGCATACAACATCCCTCTGCCCTTTGGACCCTCACAGCGGATAAGGAAAAACTCCCCCAAAAAAAACAACCCCTTTAACAGGGAAAAAATTGGGGAAATAAGAACAAGAATTACAATGCAGACAGAGCCAAAATTTATATCAATAACAATGCACTTGCACAAGTTTCATCAGTGAAGTTCTTAGGTGTCAACATTGATGAGAAACTCTGCTTTAGAAATCATTGTGAATTTGTTTGTAAGAAGGTTTCAAAATCGTTGGGCAAAATCGTTGGGCATAAAAAGGGTTAAACAGCATTTGAAAAAGAGCACACTTCTAACTTTGTATTACAGTTTAGTTTATCCTTACATCTCTTACTGTAACATAATTTGGGCCAGCACTTACCCTTCTTATTTACAAGCAATCCATAGATTTCAGAAATCCTTTCTAAGAATTGCCACCAACTCCTCTTATTTAGCCCCAACTAAACCATTATTTAAACAACTGCAACTACTCACAATTTATGAGGTCAACAAGTACCAAACAGGGGTTCTTATGTATAAAGTCATTTGCCTTCCTACATCTCTACCTATTTTTTTTTCAAAGTTATTTTGAGTCTAACCCTCATTATCATGCACATCTTACAAAAAGAAAGAATGCCTTACGCATTCCTTTCTGTAGGACCTCTGTTGCTAAATTCTCATTTGTCTATCAAGGTGCAGTGCTGTGGAATGATATAAAAAATCTAACAGAATCATGTTCTTCTTTAAATACATTTAAGACCAAGCTTAAAAAATCCCTACAGATGTTATAGTCACCTGTGTATCATTGTGTTTTGTAATTATTTTTATTTTATTTCATTAAGCTTTGTAATATTGTTTAATGCTGTATTGTATACATCAGTGTGTATGAGAGGAAGATATGCACATGTGTGTTTGTGCATGGGTGTGTGGGGAGGAGGGGGGGGGGGGGGGGGGGGGGGGGGGGGGGGGGGGGGGGGGGGGGGGGGGGGGAGTAAGTGCATAAGTATATAAGTATAGTTATTTATAGGTTTAAGAAGGGAGGGTCGCTTATAAGCCCTTTGGGCTTTATGATCTTTCCTGCACATTTTAACTGATTTTTTACTGCTCTTTCTTCCTGAATGTATGTTTGTAAGCGCAAACAACAATAAACAAACTTTCAAATTTCCCTCCGGGGACAATAAAGTCTATCCATATCCTTGTCCTTATCCAATCTAGGTTAAAATCTCCTAAAATAAGTGTTTCAATTCAATTCAATTTCAATTTTATTTATAAAGCCCAACATCACAAATCACAATTTGCCTCACAGGGCTTTACAGCATACGACATCCCTCTGTCCTTAGGATCCTCACAGTGGATAAGGAAAAACTCCCCCAAAAAAAACCTTTAACGGGGGGAAAAAACGGGAGAAACCTCAGGAAGAGCAACTGAGGAGGGATCCCTCTTCCAGGATGGACAGACGTGCAATAGATGTCGTACAGAACAGATCAACATAATAAATTAACAGTAATCCGTATGACACAATGAGACAGAAAGAGAGACAGAGAGAGAGACAGAGACAGAGAGAGATGCAGGACAGACAGTAATGGTAATAGCTTTCAACAACATTAATAAAAGTAATAATATTATAATTATAATTCTGGCTGTTGTGGTATAATATGGTGAAAGGGTGGACGATATATGCCTACAATAACCAGAGGGCAGCCATGCGGACTCAGTTTAATAATAACGGCTAATAACTCAAACTGATCTAGGACAGAGGTGGAGATTTTAACAGATGCACTTAAGTTGTTTCTAGCATAAATAGCCACCCCACCACCTTGTCTAACTCTGTCTGCTCTAAAAACACTGTAACCCAGAAGAGTAACATCAGAGTCAGAAATATTGCTATTTGACCAGGACTCGGTCTGCATTACTCAATCAATCAATTCAAATTCAAATTCAATCAGACCCAAATTCTCATCTTTGGAAAGAGGCTTCTGGCATTAACATGCACAATGCCAAAGCCTTTACAGGCTTTAAAATTATGAGCAGGACTCAGAACATCAGTATGCTCTGGAACAACTCCATTGCCAGCATGCTCCTGATGCAACCTGTCCCTGTCAGGCTGCATACAGGGTAGAGGCTGTATGATGGGAGCCAGCTCCTTAGAGTCTTGCTGATCTATGGTTTACTTTTTTATTCCATTTTCAAAGAAATTATAAAAACCCTGAGGAAATGACCAACTAAAATATATGCACAGGACTTAAATAAGCAGAACTGATCTTAAGTGGGCTGGGACTTGGAAGACATCAGTTACTGTTGGACTGGTCCCCAGTGGGGGCGTGGCCTGAATGGAAATGATTGGCGAGCAGAGGAGCATGTGAGTGCTGTAAACCATAGGACAAGTTTGCTGTGAGCATGCACGAGCCAGCTCTGTTTGGGTGAAGGCCATCCCTCCAGTAGAACTGTCTCCGCTCCCAAAATAAGTTAAAATTGTCAATGAAAGTCACACAAGCTGAAGACAACCAGGTGTGTAAATTCAACAGGTGACTGAAACTACTCACCCCTCGGCCAAGGGTGGGTAATGGGCCAGAGACATAGGCGTGGCATTTCTGTGTCTGCAGGAATGTCAACAGGTGGATGAAGTCTAGCTTTAATAGTTCAGACTGTTGTTTTGGGACGTCATTTGTTCCCACATGGACAAGGAGCCTCTCCAACTCTGGATGTTTATGTAAAATCTCTGGAATTTTACTGGTTATTTCCTGGACTCTTGCACCAGGAAAACAGTATACTTTCAGCAACTTCATCCTAACATTCTGGACTATGGAGTCTCCTACGATCATAGTTGCAAAGTGGGATAGTGTGGAAGCTTGCTGGAAACAGCTGGTGTCATGAGTCAGCATGGATAAGGACGGAGGTGTGCGATGTGATGATGGATGCAGCAATGTAGACATCACCCTGGAGCTCCTTCGTGGATCCAGCCGCCTTTGGAGAGCGGGACCGGCTAATCGCTCTGTGGTGGCCGTAGAAGAGAGTCTCATCGCGGCATCTTTCAGAAGCCTACAACAAGAAGAGGATGTCACCTTTCCAGTGGACTCGGAAACCACCCCCGCACTATTCCAGCAGTGGCGAAGAGGTTGCAACTGCAGGGGCCTTCGTCTTTGGAAAGGACCAAGCCAGGAGGTGAGGCTGCCCCGTCTGAGTGCCCTGTGCGATCACTGGCCACTACCTCCAACCAAGACGGCTGATGGCTGGGGGTTGAGCAGGAGGAAGGCCGTGGACAAGTGGCAGGATCCCACACAACTGTGTCCTGGATGGTGGCACTGAGCAAGGCAATCTGTTTGGACTGCCCCGTGGCTATCTCCATGAAGCTCGACAGGAGAGAGTCTTTCTTTCTAAGTTCATCAGAGAGCTGCCTTATGTCCTCCTTAAGGTCAGATATCATGTGGATATGGTTGGCAGGTTGGCGGCAGTTCCTTGATGAAACTGCTAAGAACACGGTCTGTGGATTATCTTAAGGATCCAGGTTATGATTTCTGGAAAGAGACATTGCTGCTGAGTTTTTAAAATAATTTTATTTTTGGCACTTTGAGCACCACAAGCGAAGTGCCATCTCGCAGAGGTGGGAACATGTCTTACATCTTTGCACTCAAGTCCCAAGTCAAGACAGGCAAGTCCTGAGTCTAGTCGCAAGTCATACATTTTGAGTTTCCAGTCCTGAACAAGTCATAATGTGCCATTCACCAAATGTAATAAGCTTTTAACAACACAGTAATACTATATTAAATTCACAAAAATCATGAATGCTTTTAAAATCTGTAGTATGTTTGAAGTTGATGCGTCTCCATCTGTAATTTTCTACCTGGACATTTTGCATTCTGCAATTCCTTTTTATTGACCACCAAATAGTTTTTTTGTGAACAAGATTATCTTTGGTTTAATTTTTCCAACTGGGGCTCGGTATCGTAAAGTTAGTTCGTCATGGTTCTCTCCTGCAGCTTGACTGGATGCTGTCAAAATGGTTCAAACAAAATGGATCTGGGGAATTAAAGATCCACATGAACAGAGCTGACATTAGTTAATTTAGGAAATGACTTGAGTTGTGGCTCTCATTTTAAATAACCTATTTTTTTAACCTTTGGGCCTGGGGTAAAGTATTGTGTATTTTCAAGTCAAAAGGCTCAAGTCTAAATTAAGTTGTTAGTGTTAAGGTCCGAGTCAAGTTCCATTTTTTTAAAAATCTGAAGTCATCAAATTTTTGACTCCAGTCTGACTTAAGTCCAGGTCGTGTGACTTGAATCCACACCCCTGACATCTAGCTCCATTATATTGGAGAGAGGCCAGACATCTCTTTGGCCAATATCTCCAACACTATGCAACTCACACCAAAACCAAGTAGACTGATAAATAACACTACAGGTAAGAGGAAAAATACCTACTTAGGATTTTGGGATGAACTTTTTCTTTAATCAACCATTAATGCTCTAGTTCTTATATTACTTTGTGGTTAATATCAGTTCATCTTTTTGGGCCTACATCTACGTGACAATCAGAAACATTTAAAAACAAATCAAACTCATGTCCTTACCTCAGAGTGAGACTGGCTCTGTGCCATGGCTTTCGAGAACACACTCTGACATAATCTTTCTTGTTGACATTCTCCAAGAACTTCACGTACAAACGCTGGTAGCGCATTTTGGCATCACCAAAGTAACCCAGATACTGAGGAAAGACATAAAGAATCAGAATTTCAATTTAGTAAACAGTATTGTTCTGTATGAAGACAATCATATTAACAAACACTGGCATTATACTTTGATGGTTAAAATGGCTGAGCTAATCCATTTTTCCCATTAAAGATATTTCTCTTGACTGAAACAGCTGTTCTCAGACTGCACAGACACAAATCAGCTGAAATAATTAAATTCATGAATTGCTTAGCTTTCTACTTTGGTTTTGTACACTCACTGCCCTCCATGTTTTCCTCATTTCATGCCTATGGGCTGCTGCACACCAAGTTCGTATTTTTTGTCCAAAATTGTCACACATCTAAAAATACAGTAAGTATGCTAACTAACTCAACTTTGACCAGTCATTTAAGTTTTTGGGATAGGTTTGATTGTCTGCATTTTTTCACCTCTGTCAAAGCCTAAAGAGAGTTGTTTGACAAAGAAACAGTGAAGAAATGTGGGGTAATAACTCGCAGACAGATACATCTGCAACAAGACAGAGAAGTGGGGCACACAGTTATTATTTCATACTTCATAGGGTTAATTTCAGCAAGTCAGACAGTAATATTCAGGTGAATGTTGATGATGAGGAGAAGGACGTGAACTGCACACAGATATATAAAGAGAGAGAGAGAGAGAGAGAGAGAGAGAGAGAGAGAGAATCTGTGTTAGCTCTGTCCACAGAGATGGGAGGAGACAGAGCAACATTTCCTGCTAGCACGTACTACGACATCAGAACAAAGTTTTTTAGAAAAATTAAATGTAAACTCAAAGATTTTGATACACTCTTTGAGCAGACTGAAATGAGACATCTACTTGGAGACAACAGTGTCAGCGTCATTGATGCAGCAAGAAATGTCAGTGCATGTCACAGCCTAACTGAAAATCAACACAACACATAACTGAAGTTCATCGCCCCACAGCTCACACTCTGCCTTTTTATTTACTCCTATATTTCAGTTTTTTTTCTTTACAGTTTATGTATATGGTTTTGTATTAATATATTGTTCTTGTTGTTATTGCCTCTTTATTGATCTTAAGCAAAGTTACTTATATATACAGTACATCTATGATACCCCCCAACACACACACACCAACAACAATAACAATACATAAAAGCTGGAGTTCATCTCATTACAGCTCAGTCTGCTTTTTATTTATATTAGTCCTCTACTCTGTGTGTGAAAACAAACAAACAAACAAAACAAACACATAAAACATGTTTATAGGTAAACATACAGTACAGGCCAAAAGTTTGGACACACCTTCTCATTCAATGCGTTTTCTTTATTTTCATGACTATTTACATTGTAGATTCTCACTGAAGGCATCAAAACTATGAATGAACACATGTGGAGTTATGTACTTAACAAAAAAAGGTGAAATAACTGAAAACATGTTTTATATTCTAGTTTCTTCAAAATAGCCACCCTTTGCTCTGATTACTGCTTTGCACACTCTTGGCATTCTCGCCAACTTTTGGCCTGTACTGTACATATACTATCAGATATTAATATTTACTTTCAACCAGTGCTTAATTTGGGCCGGAACGTACTGGAACGCATACCAGGATCTTTTCAGAAAAGGGCCCGGTGCATGGGTGAACTGATTTGCATGGGTCTAGAACTTTTCACATCTAAAAACTACATACAGTATTGGCTGATGTCACTAGTGTTGCAGGGTGGAGTACCGTAGTACTACAGTGCCTCACGTACCACTACTGTGGGATAAGTTCAAAGTCCAATCGCAAGAGGGTGAGTGTCCATGCGCCACAGAGCTCTACGTGCGAGCATTTTACTCGCATTTGCGACTAGCCTACGCCGGCTCCGCGGCGCAAGATAACGGCTTACCGGCGAGAGAGAAGTCCGACTCCAGGTTCAGTAGCCTAATTTCCTCTTTCGTTGGCGTCATGACTACCCAGTAGTACCTGGACAACCAAGCCATGACGGCACAGAGGTATGTGGTGTGTCAGAGGAGAAACGAGCCGTTCACATTTCTCTCTTTGTGGCAGGTAACGGTCCACAAACCTCACCGCACTTTAGGGACTGTTCTTTACTTATGAAGGGACTGTTCTTTACTTGTCAGGGGAGGAGGGTGGCTGGTTGATTTTTATTTTATTTATTTATTTTATTTCAATCCCCCCTATGTTAATCATTTATTGATGCTATTTTTGAAGTATGACTAAGTCAGTAAGTAATTTATTCCATTGAAATATCATTGATGTATTGTAGAAAAGTGATTTATCTTTTTATAAATGACAAAAGGCACACCTGCCTCATTTTTGCTGTGGTATCGTGATACTAATCAGAACCGTGATACTTTCACTGGTATCGTACCGTGGGTCCCAATTTTGGTGACGACACTAGATGTCACAACCATTCCATTCAGAGTTGCGCAGTGAGGCGGCTCGGGTGCCACTTAAAAAAGTGTGTTCCCCCACTTTGGGAGTGGGGGAACACTGCTCTCTCAGAGGCCCAAAGTGTTCCCCTACTTCTAATTTTACAAATTAAGTGCTGCTTTCAACATACTGTACCACAATAGCCAGAATCATAATTATAATATTATTACTTTCAGTAATGTTGTTGTAAGCTAATGTCATTACCGTCTGTCCTGCATCTCTCTCTGTCTTTGTCTCTCTCTCCGTCTCTCTTTCTGTCTCATTGTGTCATACGGATTACTGTTAATTTATTATGTTGATCTGTTCTGTACGACATCTATTGCACGTCTGTCCGTCCTGGAAGAGGGATCCCTCCTCAGTTGCTCTTCCTGAGGTTTCTCCCGTTTTTTCCCCCCGTTAAAGGGTTTTTTTGGGGGGGAGTTTTTCCTTAGCCGCTGCAAGGGTCCTAAGGACAGAGGGATGACGTATGCTGTAAAGCCCTGTGAGGCAAATTGTGATTTGTGATATTGGGCTTTATAAATAAAATTGATTGAAAATTGATTGATATGAGATATGAATGTATAGTATATCTATATCCTACTGTCCTACTATTAAATGAAGAAACCTCTGTCCCTCCGTCTGTCATCATCCGTTTTCCTCCTCACTGCTTTGACCTATTTCTCTGAACTTGCACATAGGCTTTCATCTTGGTCATGTGCAGACTACCACAATGCCATTTTTGCATTTTTCCCACATTTCTACTGTTTATATTCGCGTTTTTCCACTACACATTCATACTGTGAGCACCATTAGCAGCGCGAGCTGCGCATGTGCGGAGACCACAGTTTGGCTGGGAAGCCTTTATCTCCAGCACTTGCGGATTGAAACCACTTGGAAAACACCTGCGCTTGGACCACACTTTATGGCTGGGACATGCAATTTCAAGCACCAACACTTGCTGAAGACTAAGGTAATTATTTTACTGAATAAACGCACGTCTGTGTGCGCAGGCCAGCCGTTATGTATTTTCACTTTACTGACATTAGCCTACAAACATTACAAACTAAACATTGCGCTGTGCACTTTGCACTGTTTCTTTCATTCTTTCTCCGTGTTGCATGTGTATGTGTGTACCTGTGTGCCCGTGCACGGCCCCGTGCACGTGCGTGCATCCGTGCCGTCAGCCAAAACTATGCTCCATGTATTTTGCCATAAAGTATGTTTCTAAATACAGTGTGCATTGTTTGTCTTACATTAATATTTATTACACAGTGCATTTACAGTGCTCTCATTTTGCATCTCCTCTAATATACTGTTTTTGATTTCTTATTCCTCTATACATAACACATTCCTGGGTATGGACTAGTAATAATTTAATGACCCAACTTGCTCTGTTGATTGTTGTCATTTGTGTAATCAGTTGGAAATTTTATTCACTGCCTTTTAATTGTATTTGTGCTTTGGCAGCACACGTTGACTGTCATGCCAGTAAAACCCAACGAATTGAACTGAATTGATTTGAATTGAATAACAGTGTGGAAAGGACAGCTCAGTCCCTTCGTATAGCTGTGGAGCCAAATGTAAGACATGATGAGATAGTGGTGATAGCCAGGGAGGTGCCTCCAGTGGAGAGAAGCAGGGGAGATAATGTGTCTTTTTTTGGGCTTGTACTGCAAATTTAGCAACAAATATAATAATAATATAAGAATAATAAAAACTCAGCGTGATAGGTTTCAGTATGTAACTAATTTTACGGGATGACAGACTGAAAAATTATGAAAAATAAAAACATATGAAAAATTTGGATTCAGTGTACAAAGGTCTTAATTGTTTCAGATTCAGAGTAAGGAAAAACAAAGATATCTGATATAGTCTAGATTCCAAGGAGAGAGAAGAAATCAGGAAAAGCAGCATTTCAGCCAGAAGAGGTATTAAATACATCTACAATATTATATAATATTATAGCCAAAATATCTTTTATTTTGATGTGACCATATATATATTCTTAAAGAGCAAATAAAACACTTGTTTCAGTTGAACACCAATATGGGTATTCAGTAGTGCTGTTGAGTTCAGGTCCAAATCTTGACACTTGTGCAAAGTATTTGAATTCTACATATTGTGTTAATATACAGTGTCTGTTCTCTACAGGTTGAAACCTGATTATTGAATTTGAATTTTGCTATTGGCTGATCTAATAAGAAGTTACCGACAGTCACGCACTGCCTTGGTTTGGTGTGGCCTGTCAGCCCAGCGCAGCAGGGCTTTGCATTTCCATTACAACAGGGCTACCTGCTTGAAGGTGTGTCTTTAACTGATGACGTCTAGTCTTGAGTGATGATATTTTAAAGCAACATGCTGATCCCAAGCTTAAATCCCATTATTTTTGCTGCATGTGTTTTTCCATCACACAGCAGTGCAGGTAAAATAAGTTACCTGTTGGAGGTGAGCTGTTTGCAAAGGTGCAGTAAGAGCCTGCTGTCTGCAGCTCTTCATCAACGTCTCACTGTGACTGATTCTGATTTTACTCTTTCTACCTGCAGTATTATTAAACTTGTCTTTATTGAAGAAAAGTAGCTAACAAGGTCTGCTAAATCTACATTTCATTTCTTATAGATTCTTTATAATAAAAGTCCCCAGTTTCTTTGTTATTTAAAACTTTTATTATGAAGCAGCAAAATAAGGAAATGTTGAGTTTTTGAGCAGCAACTTCACACAACTTCTAATACAGCTGAAAGTGTACATGAAACAGTAAAATAAATCAGATATCTAAAGTACAAACAGGATGCAGGAGAGAAACTAAACTCCAAACCACAGAGATTAAGTTTGAAGCTACAAAAGTACTGAGAGCTGAACACAGACTTTCAAAAACGTCTTTCTCTCTGGTCTCCTGCAGACAGAGGTGAGTAGATTCTCGCAACACACAGGGCTTGTTTGAGGGGGAGAAGCGGGGTTGTCGGGGTCAGCTGCAGTCTGCAAGATGTCACCATTACCCACTTAAGGACAGGCAGACTAGTTTTTGGACCTACTCTGGAGAGGGTCCATCTCTGGCACAGCTCAGCGTGACACAACACGTTTAAACTGATAATGGAAACACAAATCAGTATGGTATGGCTTGACTTGGTGTGGCCAAAAGTGATGTGCGTGTATTGTTTTCAAAATAAGGATAATAAAACTGAGGATAAGTAATGCGACTGACATCAGTGCCACACAGAGGCATGTAGACGAGGGAAGCACTTCCGCATGACATCATACACTTATCCTTCAGTTTATTCTGCTTGCTGCTTCACTTCTGGCTTTTCCTGGCAAGCCCCGCCCTACTCTTCCTCTGATTGGCTACATTGCACTTCTTGATGTGTCTCTCACATGTCTTGTCTATAGACTGTATATATTTAATGTCTTTGTAGTAGACACTAGAGAAATAGACACAACAAGGACCGAGAAAAGAGCTGAGAGACAGACAGCAGTATTACTTAGGAAGAGAGAAGGGAGGGAGAGATAGGGATGCATGATATTGGACTTTTTGCCACTATGCAATGTGCAGATATAAAACAACTCATTTGGCCAATAACAGATATCGATATACCCACTTTTTTCCCCACCTTATTTTAGTGATCATCAAGTCTCTTCTATAGTGGAATTAGCATCATATTATTCATGCATACTCTTATCGTGATGGCTCACCAACAGATGGAGACATGAAATACAATACTTGTCATTGTATGTAATATTCATTCACTGTGCAAAATAAGAAAAGCATGCTGGGTAATTGTGATAGTTCATTTTAAAGCTGACATTGGTAGGCCAATATGTAGAGTAACTGGTAGCTTAGCTCACCACACCTTCCAAGTAGCTTGCCCAACACTGACTGTAACGTTTTAGCAAAAATGTATGTGTTTGGTAAGTACTGAGCATACCACTGGATAAATGAGACTTGGACTATACCGCACGAGTTGTGTGAGAGCTTGTTTTTACACACTTTTGCTGTTGTTAAATGATGTTCCTATTTACTTCAGAAGAATGTTGGTCTTTTTTGGATTCTCAGTTAACAGTGGAGGCATGAAAGATAAAAAGTTTTCTCACAAACGTAACACATGGTAAGTAATTGCTACACAAATTATCATTTTGCAGTCAAAGTAGTCTTAAGAAGGGATGAACTCAACAATCATCGATCAAGATGCTTTTGGGTGCACCACAGCAAGTCTGTCGTCACTGATTTGTTTTGAACCCAGAGAGAGCTGCACTCCTGCCATTTTTTGCCTGATGTAATTTTATATTGATTATTGATTGAACCTGTGGGAGTCCTGAGTGAAACGTATGTCTGAGGGAAAACTCACATTACTGGTTGCACAGAACTGCCTTTGGCCGTCCTTGATCTCTGGGCTGAATTTCTGGAGCAAGGCTTTCTGCACCCTCCAGATGGGTGGGGGCTCCCGGCCTGTCTGCAGGGCCATCTGGTGACACAAACAGACTCAGTGTATACCATTAATGTTAAGTTATTAATGCACCATGCATACGTCCTGGAGCTGTGGGGGGGGACTCACCTTAAGCATCCCGATGTCCTCAGTTCGAACCACAAACTCATCCCGTTCACGGAAGATTCCCTCGCCTCCACTCTCACTGTCCTCCTCCTCACTCTCCCCAGCTATGGCGGCGTCAGCCTGCTTCTTTGCCAGGTGGAGGGAGGTAAGACGCTGGGATGCTGGGGCCTCTTCCGGGGTTGGAGGTGATGGTGGCGAAGAGGATGAAGATGGTGAGGAAGAGGTGGGTGAAGAGGGGGAAGGCTGCTCAGCTTCAGGTTCCTGGTCTTGATCAGAGGATGATGGTGGAGGTGTGGTAGATGGAGGGGGGATGGACTGGCCCAGGGGAAGGTTGGAGAGGGGTGAGGATGGGATGGCAGGAGGGGAGGTGGAGGGGGGTGGGGAGGTGCCAGCAGTCGGAGGGGGCTGGTAGGACGACTGCTGCTGCTCAGAAGGAGGATAAGTTGGATTTGGCTCTTCTTCATCCTGCTGGACTGGCAGTTGGGAGGGTACAGAGAGACTGAGGAGAGGGAGTGGTGAAGGTGAGGAGTAGGTGGGTGAGGGGGAGATGGACGGTGATGTGGATGGAGGTGCAGCAGCAAGCACAGGTCCTGATGGAGAACCTGGAAGACAGGGTGAGGGGTGGGAAAAGTTAGCCAGAGTTCTAAGTTCTTCAGATGACATAAAATTACACTACGATTACATTTTGATTCCCTAGTTTGGTTGGCAGATTAAAAACGCCCAAATAAATACAACCTCATTCTGTGTCAACCACATTTACACACTGACTCAGAAACTATTGTTCTTCACTAAAGTTTTTGGAACAGTTTCGAACTTGAGGCTTCAAAATAGGATTCCACAAACCACTGGGCAGTGTTGGGGGTAACGCTTTACAAAATGCACTGAATCTTTCATTTATCCACACTGATCCACACTGCTTCACTTCCACCAGTATGCCACCAGAAAAATATCCCCTAAGTGTCCTCCTTGATGTTTTAACTGAAACTCAAAATCATCAAGGAGGACACTGACATGTGACACCCATTTGCATCTTTTAACAAAGACAAAGTTCAAGACATGATATACATTTTTTGAGTAGCCGAGAAGTTGACAGCCTTAAATAAATCTAAAGTGGCACACAGACAGTAACAAACAGATACATTACCTTCAACCTTAGGAACCTCCAAAATCTGTATTTCAGACATCCTTTCCCCTTCCTCCTCCTGCTGCTCCTGCTCCTCCAGTGCTCCCTGCTGCAGATTCTCTGGACTTCTCATTATTTCTTCATTGTCTGCAGTCTCCTCACCCCCCCCCCTTTCCTCATCTCCTCCTTGTTCAGCCTCCCTCTCCTCTGTGTTTGCTCTATTTGACTGTAGGGAGACTGATTGTTGCTCGTCCTTGTCCTGTATGTGATCCTGTGTGTACTTGAGCTCCTCCTCTTTTCCATTCTCGATACTGGGAATGAGGGGAGGTATGGCAGGGAGAGGGGGGCTGAGCGGCGGCTCCTGTGGCGTAGGCGGGGACAGGGTGGGTGGGGCCTTGATCATGGCAGAAGCCATGGCAGCTGCCAGCGAGTGTGGGGTGTCATAGAGGGCGGAGATGGCAGATGAGATGCTCTTCTGCAGGTCCTGGTTTTTGCTGACCGAGTCCTCCTCATCAGAGGAGAAGGAGGGCAGCGTCTCCAGGTTCCTTTTCAGCTCCTCATCCAGTGGCTTGCAGGGACTTGGACAGCTGCTGAGAGCCAACTCTGCCCCCTCGCCCTGCACTTCCTCACTGAATGTCTCTGGAGGCTGCTGTGGAGGAGTTGGTGGTAGGGGAGGCGAAGGTGGGGATAAGGGCCTGATCCCTCCCTTCAGAGAGGAGCAGGGGTTTAGGGATTCCTGCTCAGCTCCATCTTGTTCCGGTTCAAGGCCTGACTGTTTTTTGCCTGTCTTCAAGAAGTCCAAAAAAGAGGCCATGAAGCCAGGTTTGAAATCGAAAGCCTTGTCATCAGCCTGCAAAAGGAAAAGAGCATATCCTCATCACTGATGTGTGCTTTATGATGTTAGCATAAAGCACTGGAATGGTTTGTCAGTTTGCTGTATTCCTCTGTACACTGCAAAAACCAGTTTCAACTTGTTATTTGATCAACAAGACATCTGTCTTCAAAGCAGCATTCAGTGATTTTCCTTCACCACTAGGTGGCAGCGAAGCAAGCTGTTACTATAGCTGTTACTATAACTTCATCACCTTATAAAGTTATTGTTATAGTGACCATGTTAAAAAAAATGTTGCCAATTTACACATCTAGCTCACACCAGTGGTGGAATGTAACCAAGTACATTTACTCAAGTACTGCACTGAAGTTCAATTTTTAGATACTTGTACTTTATTTGAGTATTTCCATTTTATGCTACAACCTAAATACAAAAAATGGTATGCTGTGTAAAAGGTAAATAAAAACAGCATTTTTAATGTTCAAACTGCTAAACTTTATTGTTTTAGGTAAATATATACTCATTCTGAATTTGATGCCTGCAACACGTTCCAAAAAAAAAATAAAAAAGATTTCACCATCAACAATCAATAATATCATCAATACAACACTTTGGAAAACCATTGTCACTAAACCCAGTTTGATGCTGTATCTACAAATGCAAGTTAAGACTCTACCATGCAAAGTGAAAGCCATACATCAACAACATCCAGAAACACCACCAACTTCTCTGGGCCTGTGCTCATCTGAGATGGACTGACACAAATTGGAAAAGTGTGCTGTGGTCTGACAAGTCCACATGTCAGACTGTTTTTGGAAATCATGGACGTCATGTCCTCCAGGTTAAAGAGGAAAAGGACCATCCAGATTGTTACCAGCTTTAAGTTCAAAGCCAGCATCTGTGATGGTATGGAGGTGTGTTGGTGCCCATGGCATCATGGGTAACTTCACATCTGTTAAGGCACCATGATTGATGAAAAGTACAAGGTTTTGGAGCATCATATGCCACCTTCCAGACGACGTCTTTTTTGGGGACAGCCCTGCTTATTCCAGCAAGACAATGAGACACATTCTGTACGTGTTCCAGCAGCATGGCTTTGTAGTAAAGAAGTAGCAGCTCAGTCCATGGGGACTTGGCTTGGGAACCAGAGGGTTGCCAGTTCAAGTCCCTGTATGGAGGAAGTATGGAGCATGAACTGGTAGCTGGAGAGATGCCAGTTTGCCTCCTTGGCACTGCAGAGGTGCCTTTGAGCAAGCCACTGAACCCCAACTGCTCGGGGCGCCTGTCCATGGGCAGCCTTGCTCTGACATCTCTCCATTTAATGCATGAATAGGTTCTGTTTGTGCATGTGTGTGTATGATACCAGAGTGAAAAAAATGAATCTCCCCTTCAGGGATTAATAAAGTATTTATTTTTCTTCTTCTTCTCCTTCTTCCTCAGAGATATTCAGGTTAGGTTAATTGGTGACTCTAAATTGCCCATAGGTGTGAATGTGAGTGTGAGTGGTTGTCTGTCTCTGTGTGTCAGCCCTGGTAATACTACTACTACTACTACTACTACTACTACTACTACTACTACTAATAATAATAATACATTTTATTTATAGCCGCCTTTCAGGACACTCAAGGTCACTGTACAAAAGACAATACTAATAAAACAATCAATAAAACATGACAATCAAAAAATGCAATACATAACGTAATACATAAAACAGCAGTAAAGTGCAACAGTGAGGTCATTCCAGTCCAGATTAAAGGGCGTATGCCTGTCTGAAAAGGTGAGTTTTGAGGCGGGATTTGAAGGAGGTGACAGAGTCCGAGTGTTTTATGTCCTGCAGTAGAGAGTTCCAGAGGCGGGGGGCCGAGCGGCTGAAGGCTCTCGACCCCATGGTGGATAAGCGAGCAGTTGGGAGGGTGAGTTGAATGGAGGAGGAGGACCTGAGAGTACAGCTGGGTATGTTAATGTGAAGGAGCTCAGCAAGATACTGAGGGGCAAGGTTGTTGATGGCCTTGAAGGTGAGAAGTAGGATTTTATATGTGATGCAGTATTTGATTGGAAGCCAATGGAATTGCTGCAGGACAGGTGGAATATGACTAGAAGAGGGGGTTCTGGAAATAATTCTGGAGTTTTGAGCCAGTTGCAGTTTATGGATGGACTTGTCTGGTAAACCCAAAAGACAGGTAAGTGGACAGGTAGAGCTGGGTGTCATCTGCGTAGCAATGACTGGTGAAGTCTGGTGACCTGTCCAGGGTGTACCCCGCCTCTCACCCAGCTGGGATGTGCTTCAGCCCCCCCGCAACCAGAACAGGATAAGGGGATACAGATAATGAATGAATTAATTAATTAATCAATTAATATGATTAGTTGACTAACTGGTCTATAAATTTGGTCTATGAAATGTCCAAAATAGTGGAAAAAGTCCAAAAGAATGTAATCACACTTTTGAGTCCAACCAGCAGTGTAAAACCTTAAGATATTCAGTTTACTGTCAAACAAGAGAAGAAAAGCTAGGACTAGGAAATGTTAGGCATTTTAGCTTGATAAATGAATTCATGATTAATTAATGATAAGCAGTTATCAAAATAGTTGCAGGTTATTTTTCCAGTGAACTGATATAGTGTCAGCTCTACATGCTCTTGTAAAGACAACAAGTGAAGTCTCATCCAAGCAGCAGTGTTTGTTTAAATTTGTTAAAGATTTTGTATATCTGCATGTAACTGATGTGATTGTTCATGGCTGGTCGACCACACTGTGTGTTGTCTCCCAGTACTGACACTCCAAGATGAATCATCTCACCATACATTTCTGTTCTGTCAAGTCATCAAATGATTGATCACATGTGCACTTAGAGCAGGAATAGTTAATTGTGTGGATGCTGATTCATCATCCACACAATTATTAACAGTTAACTTTTGAAAGTGTTAAAGTTTAGTTTCCAGCTTTTCTAACAATGTATTTCAGCTCTCAGCTTCTTTAGGTAATGCAGTTCAGCTTCCCTTTCTGCCAATTTTACATTGTAGCTTCCAGTTTTTTTTTAGCAGTGTAGTCAATGCATTTGAGCTTCCATATCTTACAGGCAATTAGTTTGTTTTGTTTGTGTTTAATTTCATTTCTGTTAAATATCTGCCTCACCAGCAATGCTTTTAGATTCATTTCAGCTGTCGACATCAACATGCATTCTCTGCAAGAAATGCATTTTAGAGTTAGACTACATCTGCTACAGTGTTAATGCTTTAAGAACATATTTAACACTTACCAAGTAGTATTCTTTAGTACATCAGTGATGTTAAAAGGAAAAATAACTGTAATGCCACACTGACATGTGCAGATAGTGAAGGTGCACAAAAAGTGATTTCAAATAAAAACCAATTACAGCCTTTTTCTTGTTGTTTGCACACTAGAGGAATGCATATTGATTCAGCTAACATATCACTTGCCATGACCAGTGCTATATCATAGTCATTCCAAAACATGGTGTGTTCTCCTCGACTCTTTAACAATTTTAAGAACCTTCCAGTGTTTTTCTGCATTTAGGAATGTCTTTAGTGATAAATTTGTGAGTAGGATTAAAAGAGAAGTGACTCATTCAACTCTAAGATTGCACTGTAAGCAGTAAAATAAATACAGGCCTTGGACAGTAGGCTATACTGTAGGTAATAAAGCTGAACAGACAGCAGGTGGCGGCAAGGGTTCTGCGCTGAAAAATGTAGTAACCGTGGCAACAGCTGCCCTGGTAACAGCCATCTCTCTCTTCTCTCTTTTGTCAGTCAGAAAGAACTGGCTGTCAGTCAACTATAACCTCCTTCTCTACAAACTTCAAATCAAACAATCATGATTGAAGATTAAATTTTGTGTTTTTGTTCCAGTGGAGGTGGCATCACTAAATCAGTTAGTTTGAACAAGTACCTGAGGAAAATACCACCTATGTACATAGGTATTGCATTAATTGCCTTTAGGCACCTGATGTGTGAAGAAGGTGGAGAATGTGTTGCTCTCTCTCACAGAGGCTCAAGTTTGAATGGATGAGGTATGAATTATATATGAAGCTCTGGGCTTTGCTCATTTTTGTAGAGGGTGTGAAGCAACTTACTGAACTGGAGAGTTTCTGCATAGCAGCCCAGGCTTCAGGATTCAGTGGATCATCCATTTCTTTCTTCCATGTCATCTGTTTTAACATCAGAGAAAAACACTTTCAAAAATCTCTTTAGCAAAGCTGAGGTCAAACTCTTTACAGAGACTGTTACATATAAAGATTACTCTTTCTTTTCATGAACAACAATGTAATGTGATCCCTTTACAGATGTTCACAGATGCCTGTTATCTTGAAGATTTCATGGTAGGGGCTGCTTTAAATCAGGGACATGTTTATCCATCTAGATTATATGTAAGACAAAGAATGTCAGTAAGTTAGAAGGTAAAGCTTTATTTATATAACACTTTTTAAAACATACAGTTACATTTAAAATGAGAGAAAATTCAGTTCTGTGTTTGTCTCTATACAATTTTACTAATACAGTGGTGGAAAAAAGTATTCGGACATCCCATGTATTTGTGAAATAGTGCATTAAGAATCACTCTTAGGTCTTCAAGTGCAATTTCTTTTAGTACAGTCACAGCCAAAATACTAAATAAATCCTAAAAGCCAGCTTAGCCAGGAAGGGTACAGCTGCCGCCAGATAGCCAGGAAGTGCAGATGCAGTCCTTCAGCAGTTGGATACACTCTGCAGAAATACAGACGAACCAACAGCTTGGAAGACAAACCAAGATCTGGGCGTCCAAGGGTTTCTTCAACAAAAAATGACCGCATCCTGATCTGCATGTGCAGGCAAAACTGCCGAATGACATCACAGGAGCTTCAGCAGCAGTGGTCAAGCCAAACTGGTGTCCAGTGTTCCACCCGCACTGTACGTGGCCTAATTTTAGATCATGGCTTAAGGTCCTACAAGGCTATCAAGAAGCCCCTGATCAATGAGAGACAGAGGTTAGCCCGGCATCGTTGGGCCCAGGCACACAAGAACTGGACAGCCAGGAATTGGAAGAAGATTTTGTGGTCAGATGAGTCCAGTTTCTAGCTTTATCTTCCTCCTAACTAATGTGAGGGTACGCAGAAGGCCAGGTGAAGCATTATCTCCAGCATGTACAGTACCTACTGTCAAGCATGGTGGAGGCAGTATCATGGTTTGGGGATGCATGAGTGCTGCTGGTGTTGGTCATCTCACTGTCTGTGATGGCACATTGAACTCTACCAAGTATTGTACCATTCT